ATCGTATTGGCACGAAATCCAAGGGAGAGAAAATCTTGGGAACAGTGACTGCGAGCTTTTTAATTCAGGTCTTTTTTGGCCGATAAAATTTTCATACATGGAAGGAACTGATATGTTTTTAATACATAGGAAGTAAAAATTTGACTAATAAAATTTTTAGATAGGGATTTTCCACCCATTTTTCTTATAGTTAATATGGTGGACTCCCCTTTTATCTATTTTTATTGGGAAGTAAATGAGAATAAGAAAAGTAACTCTCTTCTTCTATCGATGCTTCTTCCCGCATGACTGCAACTTGCATCTCCATAGTCAGGTCAACTTGGGATAAGGACACTGACCCTTTTCTTGAATATGCTGCCATTTTTCACTTTTGCTTCCCTTTTCTTTTTGAACAAGACAATCATTTTATGAGTGATTTCGAGAAGACGAAGTGGTGGCGAAGTCACGAAGATAAAAATTATAACTTGTTCCATGGGAAGGCATGCAGAGACGGTTAGATGGATTATAAATCTGGATCTTCTCAATCTACGATTCCTTTTATTTTTTTCGAATTAGCAAGCTAACGCTTGCGGATCAGATCGAAGCCGCATGGCACGTTAGCTGCCTTGGGTGCAATTTTACTTTTTAACTGTCACATTGATTTAAATTGCTGTGCTGTTCCCTCCGGGTAAATTAGAAGGATACGATAGTTATTTCTCTTTTACATTTTAGTTGATTTTTTTTTTCCTTTAGGACATAAGTCCCCTTTGTTTCACCGAAAAAAGAAAGAAAGAAAGAGGAAAAATATGACTTATTATACGGATCAAGGACTAAATTAAAATTTAGAAATGAGACAAATTGAGAGGATAAATCTACATACAAGAATTCGGATTTTAGTGTATTGATGAATAGATTAGTACATAAATTTTTTTAAAAATAATTTAACAAATGTAATTTTAGATTACTTTAAAGTATAATAGAAGTGATATATCATATTAACGTATACGTTCACAAAGAAACTCTATATAATTAAGATAAAAATAACACCAAGATTATCAATACCATTTTACTATATAAAGATATAGATTACTTTGTTGCAACCATAATTTTTTTTTTTTTTGGGCTTGCGCAATGATTCAAAACTTGATGAGAAAATCCATTTCAAAGGCAGCTAAAATACCCAAATTCAAAATCAGGCCTTTAAATTCAACACGTTTAGACCAAAATGAGATTTTAGAATGTTGGTTATTTTCCCACTTTGTCCTTTTTTTTAAAAAAGAAGAAAGAAAAGTAACCTCCTAAGCCACTTCCACCAACGACCAGCTGCCAACCTTGCGAATGGCTTCGCCGGAGCATCGATGTTGATTGTTGACAACAAATTTATTGCAAAAATCTTTTTGTGAATATCTAATGGCAGCTTATGGGTCGCTATTATTGGACTTGTTAATTTCCACACCTATCTTGTGATTAAATAATAAATATTAATATAAGTTTTTGAAGAGTACAACTTGATTGCAAAAATTTGTTATCAATAATTAATAGACTTGTAAATTGTTAAATTGAACTTGTTAATTTTTAAGGTTGTCTTATCTTATGATTGAATAACAACATTTCATCGAAGAGTGCAACTTTATTGCAAAATTAATATTTTCGTTGTACATATATACCTCAATGAATTGTTAGATTAAACTTATTACTAAAAATGCTTCTCTAATTTTCTGTATTGGACCCGTGTTTTCTAATCGTGCTATTTCTTTGGCCAAAAAAAAAATCGTGCCATTTCTGCGATATCTTTCGGTGACGTATGTTTGTCTGTCCTCAACGATACAATGCCCAAGACATGGATATCGATAAAACTAAGAATATTAACGTAACATGATCGGCAAAAACAGAGGCCAGATGTCTCTACTAAAAGAAGTGCAACAGAGTATGTACGGATAAGGCATTGAAACAAAGCAAAGCTCATATAATATATGACTTTCAATAGGATGGATCAATTGGGATTTCGATGAAGAACACACTGCCACGTTCTTTTGTGAGTAACGCAGCATTTCTTCATCATAATATTCACTTTCATAACAAACTTTGCGAGCAAACCAACTATTCCATTGGCGCCTCTTCTTTAAGCAGTAATTAATCAACAATCCTGCATATATAATAATTCCACAGCCAGGAAAAAAAATAATAATAAGGAGAGGCATGAGCAGTGAAGTTTTCGCTTTGGTGGAGTGCATAAACTCATATACAGATATCTATTCAATTAAAATATCCTTATTAATCATATGAATTTGAATTATCCCTTGATAGAAACTTCTTGATAACATATGCAATCTATAAGAATTTCTTGAGGGGAAAATGAATAAATATTAGAAATAAGATGGATTAAGATCTTATATTTAAGATCAAATTGAATATTCAACTAAAAGCTTATATTGTAACCAAAAAAAAAACAGATCGAACGTAGTGCGAAACAGAAGCAAAGACATAAATGCTGTTATTGACCAAAGACTTAGAAAAATGAATGGGAAATGAAGCAAATATTACTTCCACTGACAACTTATTTCTTACAAGCTTGGAGGTATCGTTTCCATGCTCTTTTCTCCATGTCTACCCTGAATATGCTACAATTTTTAAATTTTGTTCTCATGTAATGACTTTTCTTTTCTGAGAAAAGTAACTAATATTTATCTAACTTAAAAATGTGTCTATGTCACTAATTTTTTTTTCAAAAAATTAAAATTGATCCAGAAGAATTAGCTTTTGAATTTTAGAAGGTTAAATTATTCAATGTATTTTATACAAATGATCAAAGTTTTTTGAAAAAAGACAGGCTGAACTTATTAAGCAAATAATAGACCTGTGAAGAAAAGATATGTTGAGTGTGGTAAGGGAGGGGGCTCTAATCTGAGCAATTTGAAAAAGATGAAGAAGTGGGAGTGAAGGTAAAAGGGTGAGGCTGAGCAAGTGTGGATGATGAGAAATGATGAGCGTAGTGCATGGACAAGAAATTGCCAGTTAGAATTAGAATGCATCTTCAAACTCATGCTTCAGCCAACAGAGAATTTGATAAAGGAATTTTAATTTCCAAATCCAATTCAAGTTTTATTGTTTGGATGAAGAGTAAATGTTATCCTATAATAATTATCCCCTTTTCTTAATTTAGATTATGCATAATATCTTGTGATCTGGGTTGACATCCAAAGCTTTTTCAATAAGGGAGTCGGAAGAGCCTTAAATGACTCATTATATACTCTCTTTGATTTCCAGTAACTATTATATAAATTTGCCTCTACTCAGTGACTGTTAAGTCTGGAACCTGAGAAAATTCTTTCGATATATCCTCAGCACTATCATCTTGGCATTGGATACAACACCAGCAGCATAATTTCTCTCCCCTGAATGATTCTGCTTTCGAGTATGAAATTTGTGCCATCGATTCAATCACAAGTGGAAATCGTTAGTTCCGGTTAAGAATGAAATCAAAATGCAAGAATCTCAGCTAAATCGCCCAAAGAATCTCCGGCATATCCATTACGTAGATCATAGAAAGATACAGCAGGGTGCTTTTCTCTGTTCCTACATATGCCATACCCAAGTACCTTACATGTATATATTCCATACAGATCGTACCTTACGTAGTCAGTAATGAACCGCATCTGTGAATCATTTCGTTTGCCTTCCTTTAAAGGCATTGTTTCCACATTTGTTGATTTTGATGGGGGAGTTCTCACTTATTCCTTTATTACAATAATAGAAACCAGATATTTCCTCGTCTGCTAAATGGAGGGGCAGAGCAATCCACAATGTACATCGCAGTGTTTTTAACAACCACGTTTTGAGCACATGTTGGAGGTTAAGAACCATGGTTTTGAAGCCCAAATTACATTTTGTTGAAAGCGGTTGCCAACGAACTTGAAAACCAAACAACACAATTTTTATTTTCAAATCATGTTAGAGTCCAAAATCTTGGTAAGCAAAGAAGTAACCTGTGACATGCTTTTGGCTAATCTCAGTTTTGGCCAACTTCAATGTCAAAATTCAATTTTGGCTAGCTTCAATATGCCTAAAAACAATTTGCAGAGCCAATTCTGTCCGAGCTTTAATATTGACTGACGTTAAACCAAACACACTAGTTCAATTATTGTCGCTATAAGAGGCTCCAAGATAACACAAAGGCTCACAAAGGTAATTGCCAATCAATTATGAGAGTGGCATAATATTATATTTATTACTGCAACTTTGAAATTCACCTTCAAGATGAAATGAAACATATTAGATTACATTTCATCACACGTTCCTCGGTCTTCTATCATGAACTAGTTCCATTAATCATCTAATTTGTCATCCTCTTTGAAGCGGGGTGATGATGGTTCAGAAATTTAGAACGTTATTCATAAAAAAGTTATTATTGATGAAAACATTGCCCATTTTTTAACGTCATTTTTTTCTTTGGTGAACAGTCAACTTTCAAGTCTATGGGGGGAAATATTAACTTTGTTTATTTTATTATTCAATGTTATTATCTGATTGACAAGGCATGTTAGGGGAGCTATCTTTCAAATGAACTAGACTCACTATACAGTATAGTAATGAAAATGTGCGATCTCCAATTAGATATGGGAACCCTCAGCAAAAACACAGCGTTCCATGTCCTCTGATCTTTCATCGTCGTTTTGCTGGATTGGTCATTAGGGTTCTATACTTTAGAGCTAGTAATATGGGTTAGACCCGCAAATGCGCCAAAAATGGTGAGTTAAGATTGGCCAAAAACCAACTCGCCAGTAAATGAGCCTTTTTAACTCGTACTGTCAGGCCCGCAATCAGTCGTGAGTTAGCTCGCCAACTCGCAAACTAACCCGCATTTATTTTTTTAATCTTTTAATTATTATAATTATATTATTATATATTATATCATATCTACAAAAATAAAAAAATACTTATATAATTTATTTGGTGCTTTCAATTAAATATTTCAAGAAAAAACAAAAATTTTATTATTATTTTTGGATACTATATAAGAAAAAAAGTATTAAAAAGTAAAAAAAATTTCAAAAAAAAAAAAAGTATTAGCGGGCCAACCCACCAACCCACCTTGCAAGGATTAGAATTGGCTAAAAGCCAACTCAGGCTTCAAACGGGTTGTTTCAGCCCAACATATATGGGTTCAACCCACCATGGCCCTATTATAGGTCCTTAACATGTTGTCCCATATCCTCCCTCGCAGACAATCAAAGCATGGACAATCACCTGCACACACAATCAAACCGTGCATTACATGTCGATCGAAAATCACACAAAGACGACATAAAAAGATTAATATAATGTTTAGTATCTCAAATTTGCTCTTATTTTGGTTTTAGCCTCTCAATTAACAAAATGGTCTAAATTTTTATTAAATTATAAAGACTAGTATTTTACATGAAAAGAAACTTGAACTAGGGATTAAAACTTATGGTTTGAAATTTAAGAGATCAAAACTAAAATAAAAACAAACTTGAGAGACCAAAAATTATATTAACCTAACCTAAAATTATATATGTAAATGTATAAAAATAATGAGCTTTGTCAGTCATATTTGAGTATTGGTGGATCTAATCATGAAAAGCTCTATCCCCACTCTCCACATGCGTTAGCTTGGCTCAAAAGTCAAAACATAAGACCCATAAATAAAAAGAGTGGGGAAGGGGTTGACCTTCCAACATATTGATATTGGCATTTTCCTCTGGTCAAGAACCAATATCATATTGATACCATCCTAAAGTATTTTTCCAATCGTAATTATGATAAATTAGTTCCAATTATTTTTTCATAATAAAAAAACCATATAGTTAGCGTGGAAATATTAAAATTGTAAATAAAAATAATTAAATTTTAAAAGTTAATAAATACTTCACTTTGTAGTGCAAGATGGTTAATATATGGAAATTCATTAATTTATTTGAGAGTATGAATGCATAATATATAAAACCAGAGGCAATATATTAGAGGCTTTTGCATGGAGCACCGAGCTTTGAACCTGAAGGTGGGTTTGGGAACGTTATGGGACCATGTTTTGTGAACGCGGTATGGAAAGGCCATGGGCTCCCAAGGCCTGTCGTCGGTGTCGAGTTACAATCAACAACCTGCACAATGTGTTGCAGCCCTCAATCATCACAACAAGAACCCATCTATCCATTTTCTCTCCCACATCAAAATACCCCTAGCTAGTTAATGCTTCATTTTCTTTCGTAAGTGAAAAAAAGCTCAATTTTCACTTTGGTAAAAAGGTCACTACTACTACAGTTACTATATCTCATTCAGTATAATGTTAGGAAGGAATAATTGTAAAAGAGTACTACCTCTAATGCCTAATATAAAAAATTGGTTAACTTTTTTTTTCTCTCCAGACATTAAGAAATGGAAGTGGAGTTGCTAAACATGTCCTAAAATGATAAAGTTTGCCTATTTTTCCCTAAAAAAAATGATAAAGTTGCCTTTAATATTTTATTTTTATTATCTCACATTTCTCTTCTATATTTAATAGGGACAAAAGTGAAAAAATCACATTAATTGTCCTACTATCATCTTATATTTTAGGTCACAATTTTCTTTTAACCAACATCTTATATTAAGGGACCGAAGGGAGTATTTGACTAATTGCACATGTTTTCTTAATACCAATAAATTAGTTAAAACGGTGCTATGTTTAGGACTTAAAAAAGTGTGTATAATGTGGGTTAAGTGTTTACAAGTTATAGGGATGGAGGAGGTAGCTTGAAATAAAAATGAAAAAAGAAAGAGTTTAATGGCAGTGACTTACTCGATCCATTTGTTGTTCCAATATTGCAAGGGGACTTTGATTCTTTGAGCTGCTGCCGTTTTCAACATCAACTTTGCGAATGACATGCCATCCACACTTTATTGAAACTTCCGTATCGTAAGAAGGGGCTCGAAATGCAAAGGGAATCTGATTGTTCTTCCTTGATTGCCACATATCACGGACATCCTTTGTTGGATTGTAAAATGAGACCCAGAGGTGACAAGACTTTCTTTTCTTCCCACCCTTACAATTAGACGCTGGCATAGCATGGTTTCCGCGACTGGGATGTCCAACATAAGCATGACTACACTGCCACCAACAGTAAAAGTTACTTTCTAGAAGAGTGCATAATCCGATTCCCAACATTTCTTCGCAAGGAGGTATGTCTATCATCACTAGAGCTTCGAAGTTATGATTCAGATAAAGATCGATTTGATTCTCAAACCATGGCGGTACTTCAGTTCCAGGAATTATCAGCGACAAATAATCACGTGGCCCAAGCACTCCCACCTAACCCGATAAATAATCACGTATCAAATTATATAGTATGATTAAACACAAAATAAATACATATAATTATATGATGATATATGACTATATGTATGTACCTGGTCCATTGAAGCAAAGAGATGTGATAATTGTTCACCTTCCATTGTATCCAATGAATCACATTCTTCTGCATACATCTGCGATAATCTTGGCGGAATCTGCGGCAACGACTGAAGTTCCGAGCAAGAATTTATATTCAGAGTATCCAAATTCAAAAGATTAGATATGCAGCCAGCAGGTAGATTCTTAAACTTGTTTCCACTTAGATCTAACCTCCTCAACGATGATAAGCCACCCAAGTCATCCGGAATGGATCCATCATCAAAACCGCAGTAGCTTAAATCCAATTGTGTCAGTGATTTAAGATTGAACATTGAAGGAGGCAATGTTAAGCCCTTATGAATTGAATGCCTCCAAAACGTGTGCTTCAACGGAAGAATCATGCTCCAAGAGTTCAATGTTGACTTTTTGCACCCGCGGAATGACAATTTCTTGAGTTTTTCTAAACCACCAATGGAACACGGTATTTCAGTTATATCGGTTTCACTTGCGTCCAGCTCCTCCAAGGCTTCAATTTCATTCAACTTCTCTGGCAATCTAGCAAATTTTGAGCACCCAGCAATATCAACAAGCACAAGATGTTTCAAATTGTGAATGCTTTGAGGAGGGCAAACAAGATTTTTGCAACCCCTTAATTTCAGAGTTTTAAGACCAGTCAACAAGCCAAGTGACTCGGGAAGTTTGACTAAATTTGTCTCCCCAGCATCAAGCGTTTCTAGATTTTTCATATTTTTCCCAAACTCTGGGAGAAATTTTACTCGAATGCATCCATAAAGAACAAATTCTTTTAGTGCAGTCATTTCCAATTTTTTGGGACAATGGGCTATAAGACTTTTGCAACCTTTCAAGTTCAACACTTGAAGCTTTTTGTGCTGTCCAATTGAAGCATGGAGGTCAACAAGTTTTTCACAACCTTCAAGTTCTAATCTTTCCAAATTTGGAAGTTTAGAAAAATCAGGAGTTTTAATCAAGTTTTTGGAAAAACGCAAGTCCAAAAACTTCAAATTCTTCGAGCACTGGTCAAACAAATATATGAGAACCAATGAAAAAAATATATATTTTGCTAACTATGATAATCAATGATACTATCAATAACATCAAAGGATAAGATATCTTACCAGGCCAAGTTTCTTTAATTTGCTATGATGCATTCTAAGATCAACAAGTTCATGCAATCGAGTTCCAGAAGGAAGAGTGTCTAAAGGATATTTTGTCCAATAAAGTACTTTCAAAGCATGAGAAAGACATTTGAGGCCAACAGGAACATGGAAATCACTTGATATCATGAGTAATCTAAGCTTACGCAATGTTGAAAAAGCTTCACGATCCCAAAATGCCTTACAAGATGTGGATGAAACCTCACCTTGTATTTCTCTTGTGTCTTGATAAACAAGGTTATGCAATTTTGAAAATGGTTTAGGATCCCAAAATGCCTCACAAGATGGGGATGAAATCATACCTTCTATTTCTTCTGTACCCTGATAAACAACATTAGCCACAAGAAAAATGGTATCAAATTTACTATACAAGAAATTAATAAGATGTAAAATGTATTAAAACCTAATAATATGTAAAATATATTAAAACCAATAAGAGATAAGATCGATACTCACCCAATTGTTTTGCATAACTTTATCAATATCTTCATTAGTCCACAATCTACTACGATTTCCAACACAGTTAGAGGACTTATCCATAACAATTTTCCTACCCATTTGTTCCACCAAATCATGCATCACCACAATACTACCATATTCCTTTAGCATAGATTTTTCCTGGAGAGTTGTTATTCCAATTTTCGCATTAAAACCACAACTTTCTAATATTTTTGTTATTTTGTTTTTGCTCCAACCATTGAAGAAGCAAGCAATATCTAAAAATATTGTTTGTTCTCTACTGGTTAACGCATCAAAGCTTATTTGAAGTATCTTGAAAATTTGTTCATGTTGATCTTCCTTCAACATATTTAAAGCATTTACCCATTCTGCCACGCAGCTTTTTCCACAAAAGAAAGAACCCAAAATAGAAAGAGCTAAAGGAAGACCTTTTGCATAATTACAAATAGTCTTAGATAGCCCCAATAGATCCTCCCGAGGCTCACTTCTTCCAAATGCTTTCTGACAAAAGAGTTGAAGGGATTCAGTTGGATTCATAGTTTCAACCTCATGTAGATATGAGACACGTGCTCCACGCAACAAGTCTAAATGTCTAGTTGTTATGATCACTCTACTCCCAGCACCAAACCAACTTGGGCTACTAGCCAAATTTTCTAGATGGGCTGTATGGCTGACATCATCAAGGATAAGTAAAACTTTTTTATTGCAACAACGGTTTTGGATTATTTTCCTCCCTTCATAGCTATTGTCAATTTCCATGTTTCTTATTTTGAGATTTGAAAGAAATAAACTTTGTAATTGAACCTCGCCACCATCTCTTTCTGAAGCTGCCCTAACATTGTGAAGAAAGCAACTAATATCAAATTGGCTATGATATTTCTCAAAAACAGCCCTAGCAATTGTTGTCTTCCCAACACCCCCTAAACCCCATATTCCTAGAAACCGAACATCATTCGAACCTATCTCCAATAGTGGCGCTAGTTGTTTCACTTTATTGTCAATTCCAATGAGTCCTTCAGTATAAGGTGGTAGTCTAAGATGTAATTTGGTCCACAGCTCCTCAACCACTGTGTCAACAAGTTCTACTTCAGACCTACAAGTTACAACAACGTATGAATAGTCATGTGAAATATAACTTTTGATTTATTTTGTAGTTATACTACCTCCAGTCCTAATTATAAGACCTACAAACAAGATCTTATAATTAAGACAGGAGGTAGTATAATATTTGTTGCTCCAATGTCTCCAATTGTTAATATTTTTTCCTTTTGGATTATCAACACATTGAAACAATTTCACCTTGGCAACAGCCTAGACATGCAGTTGTTGTTCATTTTTTTTTTTCAACGAGCACTTTAATTTAAGGGAGAATTGCAATTAAGTCCCATATAAGAGAAATAATTATGAAAAGGTCCTAATAACAATCTGTGCAGTCTGTAATGACAAGTCTTACAGTGGAGAATGACAACTTCTAGGAATTGTTTTGTAATTTTTTTTTTCCTTTCATGGGACTTGATTGTAATCCTCCCTTAATTTAATTGTGATGCTAAAGCTTTTCAGTTCAAGTTTTGGATATGAAAAAATAAAAAATAACAAAATACAAATTTAAAATTTAAAACTTTTAACTTCAAATACAAAAAAAAAGGATAGTTACAAAATTTATTAGAATAAATGATGACATAACCAAAAAATGACTAAGTACTATAAATTTGGTTCCACAATACTCAAAATTTAACTAGTAGTATAAATATCAAATAATTGTATTAAAAAAGTTTTAAAATTCGTGTTTCTACAAAAGTTAGCGAGGAAAGCTCATTTATTAAATAGTGGTAAACAGAAATGGAAAGAACGAGTGAATAAACAATAAAAAGAATGATGACACTTGTAATACGAAGTATAATTGTCTATTTCAACTAAAATGTTCATATTAATAATTAATTTTTTTAGTTTTTAAAATAAGAACACACACATGTCAACCAAATAGCCTGACTGCATCTAGATCAATATATGTTCCAAAAAATGATTATATAAATACAAAATATTTGTTGCATAATTTTATCCAATAAGAAATTAACTCACCGATTCTTATTGCAATCCCAACCAGATAAGTTCGAAACCTTCCTGAGAGAATCTCTCCAACTTTCCATGACCTCCTTGTCCCTTTGAAGCATTTGATGCCCATCAAAAGCTTTGGAAAAACTTTCTCTTTGATGCCGTGCATCAGATGGATTTACATCATAAAATATGGGGAAAACTTGTTGAGACAAATTGTTTCTTGAGTAAAGAATATGCTTAAGCTCATCTAAACACCATGAAGAAGAGGCATAATTTTTTGAGAGAACAACAATTGCAAACAGAGAATCCTCAATTGCTTGTTTGAGTTCTTTGGAAATGATTTCTCCTCTCTCAAGTTCTTCATTATCTCTAAAAACAGTGAACCCACTCCTCTTTAAGGCATGATACAAGTGGTCAGTGAAGCCGTTACGAGTATCTTCACCCCTAAAACTCAAAAAGATGTCATACTTCCAAGTTCTTTGGGTTGAACTGGAGTTGGAAGAATTTGAAGAAGATGCTGCTTGGTTAGTTGCCATAAATGCTTAAGCCAATAATTTGATGAACCAGCAATATTACGACCTACAACACAGCTAGACCATTTCATTTCGCTAAAGGGAACAAATGAAATATGCGATGATCAGATTGCAAAGGAAAAAAATGGAAAAGAAAAATAGTGGAAGTTTCAGATGTATGATTTACTGACCTGGGCTTACAGCTAGAGGTGAAGTGTCTAAACGCTAATGCTTCAAATATACAAGCTTTCAAGTGTTTACCTTCCTGATGGTGTTATTAGATGGCTGAAACTAGAATTTTCTTGCAAGTTTCTCACAATTTCTCTCTGTCCCTTTTCTATCTTCTCTTTTCTTCTTCTTTTCTCTCTCTTTGTCTGCAATAAGGGAAGAGAGCTAAAGGCCCTACTTAAAGTGAAAGCTTGTTTGGAGGACCACCTCGAGAATGAACCTACTTAATGTGAAAGCTTGTTTGGAGGACCACCTCGAGAATGAGGAAAGGCCGAAAGGGTCCACAGTCTTCCTTCCTTGCTGCTTCCCTCACCACGACACGCCCGTGATCATTTTGACTCGCATAACCACCTTTTTTCCGCAGATTAAGTTAGCTTATCAAATTCGAACCGCTTCATCTTTGCAACACCTTCTAAAAATTTGGTTGGTTTTATTAGAGTGATGAGTGACTCATGACATTAATGAGAGTTCTCAAACAAAAGCTCGTGATCTATAAAAGAGGGGGAAATTTGAATCTGCGAATTGATGATTGCAAAAATAAACCAAAAAAAGATAAATGTAATCAGATGACTTTTACATACATGTGTATAATACTTGAATATTTGACGTATGTACTTAGAAGCCACCCCGGCCATGATGCAATCCGACGACTTTCCCCTTAATTATTGGTTTTCATTTATTTCCTTTATTTGTGCTTCGTCTTCAATTCTTCATACATTTTCTGCTCATACTCTAAGAAATTTTTTGAAAAGATCTTCACGCAATCCCACATTGATGAGCAATCAAATTACTAAAAAGTCGCACAACAAGTGGGCAGCATGTAATAATAAATTTTGATGCAAAAAGTCACAACAGGTGTATCTGCGGCTCACTTGTCATGAGGCTTTTTAGTAATAAGATTGGTTATACAAAGTACAAAGTAATTTTGCCAAACTAATATTACTATTATTAAAAAGCAAATGGGAGAATTCTTTCTGGTCAGCAATCCAATATTAAATGCATATGGGGTTGGTTTTCTCACCTTCCAGTCTGAACACACCAGTATATCTGCGTAAATGGAACCCATCGGGCTCCATTAGCGTATATGATTGCCAAAAAGTCCAAAAAAAAAAAAAGGAGACGTGAGAATTGAATGAGCAGAGGGCTCATTTCCTTCCTTCCATGCCCCTTCCCTCAAGACTCCTTCCAATTAATTATATCATACGACGTTCATTTCTCAATATTACAATCAGATAACTAGCAAATATTAAAAAAATTAAAAAAATTAGTTATTTATAATAAATTGATATTGTTTTCTTTAAAAGATCCTTATTAATAATGTGAATTTAAATTATTCCTTGATAGAAACTCCTTAACTGCATATATGCAACCCATAAGAATTACTTAGGAGAAAAATGAATAAATATTAAAAATAAAGTATATTAAGGTCTTATATTTAAGACCAAATTGAATATCTAACTAACACTTATATTGTAACAAAAAAAAAACTAACCAAATATGAAACAGAAGCAAAGACATAAATGCTGTCATCGACCAAAGATTTGGAAAAATGAATGGGAAATTAAGAAAATATTGCTTCCACTGACGACTTGTTTCTTACAAGGTTGGAGGTATTGTTTCTATACTCCTTCCCGCATGACTGCGACTCCTATCACCAAAGTCAAGTTAACCTCGCACGAAGACTCCAAGTCTTCCCTGAACTTACTACAATTTTTAAATTTTGTTCTTATGTAATGACTTTTCTTTTCTGAGAAAAGTGACTAATATTTATCTAACTTACAAATATGTGTCTACGTTACTAATTTTTTAAGAAATTAATATTGATCCAAAATAATTAGCTTTTGAATTTTGCAAATTTAAATTATTCTATTTTTTATATTTATTTTATAAAAATGATCAAAGTCTTTTAAAAAAAAAGACAGGCTGAACTTATTGAGCAAATAGTAGACTGTCAAGAAAAGAGGAGATGTTGAGTGTAGGGGAGCTGTAATCTGAGCAATTTGAAAAAGATGGAGAAGTGGGAGTGAAGATAAAAAGGTGACGCTGAGCAAGTGTGGATGATGAGAAATGATGAGAGCAGTGCAGGGACAAGAAATTGCGAGTTAGAATTAGAATGCATCTTCAAATTTGAGAAAAGGATTTTAATTTCCAGATCCAATTCAAGTTTTATTATTTGGATGAATAATAAATGGTATAATAACTATATATTGTTTGGATGAATAATAAATGTTATAATAATTATAAATGTATATATTACCTCGGTCCTAAATATAAGGCTATAAACAAAGTCTTATATCTAGGACCAAAGATAGTATATTATAGCATATTCCCTTTTTCTTTTTTGGTTTTTTGTCAACTCCCTTTTTCTTAATTTAGATTATGCATAACTCTACATTCATCCAAACACAACGGAAAGCCCTATGTGTTACGGTTTACAATGTGAATATATAAATCAAGCGTTAAGATGCATCCAACACTTTAAAATATCTTTTCGAATGCATCTAACACCCTAAAATATGCTCAAGTGCATCCAGCACTTCGAGGTATTTTTTAGGGGCGCCCAACACTCTGAAGTATTTTTTTTTGCCTTGGTGTTGGATGCACCAAAAATTATTTCTAGGTGCTAGATGTATCTAAAAAAATACTTTGAAATGCTGGACGCACCTAACAAAATATTTCAAGATGTTGAGCGCACCATAAAGTATTTTAAGATGCTGGATGTACCTGAAAAAATACTTCAGGATGATAGATGCACTTTAAATCATGAATCAATGCCAAGCTAGTAAAATGATTATAAATATTGTACCAAAACCTTGCAAAGATTACAAATTAACTACAACATCTTGTGATCGGGGTTGCTATCCAAAGCTTTGTCAATAAGGGAGTCAGAAGAGCCTCAAATGACTCATTATATGCTCTCTTTGATTTCCAGTAACTATTATATAAATTGAGCTTTTATTAACTAATCACGTTTTGAAAACAAGTTGGAGGTTAAGAACCATGGTTTTGAAGCCCAAATTACGTTTTTTGTTGAAAGCGGTTGCCAACATCACTAATTCCAAAAGGAACTTGAAAACCAAACAACACAATTTTTATTTTCAAATCATGCTAGAGTCCAAAATCATGCTTGGCAAAGAAGTAACATGTAACATGCTTTTGGCTGATCTCAGTTTTAACGGCCTTCCATTTGTCAAAATTCAATTTTGGATAACTTCAATCTACCTCAAAGCAAGTTGCAGAGCCAATTCTATCCAAACTTGGATATTGACTGACGTAAAATAGTCAAATTATTGTTGACGCAAGAGGCTCCAAAATAACAAAAAGGTAATCGCCAATTTATTCTCAATATGCACAAGCTTTCAAGTGTCTACCTTCCTGATGGTGTTATGAGATGGCTGAAACTAGAATTTTCTTGCAAGTTTCTCACAATTTCTCTCTGTTCCCTTTCTATCTTCCTCTCTCTTTGTCTGCAATAAGAGAAGAGACCTAAAGGCCCTACCTATAGTGAAAGCTGGTTTGGAGAAAAGGCCGAAAGGGTCCAAAGTCTTCCTTCTACGCTCCTTCCCTCACCACGACCGCCTGTGATCACTTTGACTTGCATAACCAGCCTCTTTTTCCCCACAATATTTTCCCATTTTTCCCCAGAAATTAGCTTAACGGATTTGAACCGCTACATCTTTGCAACACCCATCCAAAAATTGGTTTTATTTGAATGATGAGTGACTTATAAAATTAATGAGTTTCCCAACAAAAACGCGTGATCTATAAAAGAGGGAATAAAAGAAATTGAAAAATAAATTTAAAAAAAGATTGAGAAAGGCCATTAATTCTTGTTAAAATACCATCTTTTGCAAAAAAGAAAAATAAATGAAGAGAGAATTGAAACAATAGAAGAAGATCATATTTGTTTATTTATAATCAGTACCCTCTATCAATTTCAAAACCAGTTTTGATACTCATTACAGTGAAAGGTATCATGATACTCATTACTGCAGTGAAATCTACATCATTTAGATACAGTTTTAATGGTTTAGATTTAAAATTTTTAACTAATAAATTTTAAATAAAAAATTATTTTCCAAAAAATTTACAGTTAAAATATTATATACCAGAAATATCCTTTTCTCCCAGGCATCTTTCTCTCCTTTTCTCTCGTCAAAAGTGGAAGCCACATCCGTTGGGGAATTCTTTTTCTCCGTTCTTCTCCCAATTTTTTCGAACCATTCCCTCCTTTCACACTTCTCTTACAGATTTGCAATAAAATATGCTTCTTATCTTTCTTAATATAATACCTAATTGATTGATTTAGAAAGATTTAAAAAAATTAGTTATACTAATTATCTATTTCTTAATATAATACCTAATTGATTGTTTTAGAAAGATTTAAAAATAATTGTTATACTAGTTATTTAAATAGACGTTGATAAGGAGCATATTTTATTGCAAATCTGTAAAAGAAGTGTGAAAGGAGGGAATGGATCGAGGAAATTGGGAGAAGAACGGAGAAAAAGAATTCCCCTAACGGATGTGGGTTCCACTTTTGACGAGAGAAAAGGACAGACAGAAACCACCAGAAAAGGATATTTCTGGTATATAATTCTGAGACGCTCAAAAAATGTTGGTGCCCGGCCTCCTCGCCCGGATATATAATTGGGTGACACAGCATTCTAGCACAATGCAATTGCTGTGAGAGTATAACTGAACCTATAGCATATTGACACGTAAACGAGAGCGAAAATATCTGCATCTGTCCAAGCCTATGCAATAATTATAAATTATTTATGCTTTGACAGGGT